CATCAATTTGGTGTAGTAGCATCTCTTGAAATCTCAAAATACTCCTAGGACAAGAAATCTACTTTCCATATGCCTGTAGCCAGAATGTGAATGACTCTGGACCAGTCTCCTGAGGAATGATGACTATAGTTGGCAGCTCCACCCCAACAGTATAGTATAAATAATTCCCATTCAGCCAAGACACTGGTAGGCAGCTTAACCTCATTGACATCTGCCTACTACTAGGTTCACTTTGTGTGTGTGCAGTTTTTCATACAAGCACACTGAAAAAAAAAAAAGAAAAAAAAAGAAAAAAAATCTGTCTACCAAAACAAAACAATCCAGTGCACGTGTAGTTAAGCATACAGGACAAAAAAAAAAAAAAAAAAGTAATTCTTTGAAAGAGATGCAATCAGAAAATTGTACAGTAAATTTGAAGGTTGGGGGGAGGACTGTACTGTATTCTAGGCACCTAACTTTCTGATAATTAATCTAAACCACATGTTGAGGCTTTCTCTCTTGACAATGGAGAGAGACAAGTGACTCCAGATGGAAGTTAGGAGCACTTCTTTCAGGCATTTTTCTGAGAATAGCCCATTTGGAAGTGCCAGTCTCCTCCCTGTTGGAAAATGAGACACCTCACCATGGCACTGTTTAGAATATTCTCCTCTGCTGGGCATCTACATAGTAGAAAATGCATAAAGGCCTACTTTTTTTAATTGCAGATACAGCTACAAAACAACAGCAATCCAGCATAGTGCTAGTGATTCATGGGAGGACTCGGTGCCTTCTGCACATCTGGATGATGAAGAACTGTTCTGGGACACAAAAAGTTCATTTTCATGCATCACTAAGGGCATTCATTCACTAGCAAACTGCAACCAATTTGAAATAATGAGTTAGAGGTCATGGACTTTCTGTTTTACTGTTATTCCTTCATTCCTTCCTTCCTTCATTCCTTCCTTCCTTCCTTATTTCTTTCCTTCCTGGAAAGCTGCTTTTATTTCTGTACAAATAGCCTCTGTGGCCTTCACAAGCAGGTAGGGAGAAAATGGCTGTTCTTCCCATGTTTGCAAGGATGGGCTAAATTAAGCAAATTCTCTCTTTATTTTTAACTTTCCATCTGCAAAACAGCAGACGGATCAAAGACAGTTTATGGCCGTGCTGGACAGTTCTCCATGGCAATTGCTGCTCAGAGGCCTGAATTGCTATGAAAAGGACAACCTTTGATCTCTTCAGCCCTTCCCACATATAACAGCTTCTGCTCTGTTTGAAGCAAAGAACCAGGCTCCCACTCCTGGATTAACTAAAGATTTTTGGAGAAAAATCTCTATAAAGGAGTTGAAGGGCCTGGCAGGGGATAAGCAGAATTATGAAATATGAGAATGGGTTAAACAGAGGATAAAGTTACTAAAAAACACCTCCAAAATATGTAATCAGTGACCTGGATTCAAACTGTTTGTGTGCTCTCTCTTGCAGTCCTTCTGCTTCTGTTGTTATTATTTTTGGCCTGGGAGAAATAGCTTTCTGAGTCCATTTCACCTTGATGGATTATGATGCCTTTTTAAATGTCAATTGATAATAATTGTGCCATTAAAAAACAAAAAACAAAAAACAAAAAAAAACTAATAAATGCTATCAGTTTAAACCTACAGTGTCCCTTTTATTAATATTTCTAATTTATGTGCTTGTTGAGAAATCTCTAGAGACAACAGGGCTAATAAATCTGAGGTTAAAAGGACTGCAGAAGGCAGGCTGTGTGGGCTTTCTGCTAGATCATTACCAGCTGTTGAGCTTTGAGAAGATCGCAGCAGCTGTCACGGGGGAGTCTGTCAGAGTCCAGTAAGGCATAAAGGATAGAAGACAACCTACAAGGACACAAGGCTTCAGAGGCGACATGGGCAATTGGCAGATGCACTGTAGCCAGCAACTGCTGGTGCACCTATTCACCTGGACCTCTGACTGCCTGAGCTCCTAGACTTGCTCTGTATAGCTGGCTGAACACAAGCCCTGAGAGATGAAGTGTTGTGAGCTGTGGCCTCTGTGCAATGCATAAACACCAGACAGCTCCAGCTCTGTGTCACGTACAGAAGTGGGAGCTAAAGGAGAGGCTTTGGAGTTCCAGGTGGAACATTGCCCTGTTACTGTCTTTGTGCAGAAAAGAGATCAGTGGGGCAGGAACAGGCACCGTTCCTGTCCAGCAGCATAAATACACTTTGTTTTTCTCTTCAAGGCAGGCAATATTGGACCAAAAGCTCCCAAACATTGATAGTTGATTTTGAGTAAGCATATACAGGACTCTTCACTTTCTGAAAGCACACCATATCTTAAAAACCTCATAGGCTTTGTAGACCTCTAGATGTGCTTGTCATGGGCAGGAGGAGCTGAGAAAATCAACACGGTATGATTTTCTTCAGACAGCTGCCTTCTGGTGTGAGGAGTTGCCTTCAGAGCTCAGCAGCCCCAGGGGAAGATGTGTTTCCTGCATTCAGGATTATATATACTAAATTAGACAGGTAGCACAATAATTGTAACAAACGAGAATCATCTGCATTTCCAGGTCAAGCATAAATGCAAAAATATCCCCAAACTATGCTACAAAAGCTATTATATTAGAACTTGGCAGAAAAATAACTTCTTCGTTCTTTGGTAATTTAAAAATAAATCATTTCTTGTTTTGAACATAAATAATTTGTTACATTTCAGCAACTCAATCATTTGAAAAAGGGGTCAGCTGAACTATTTTAATTTGCAAAATGTTCATTTGCATTTCAAGCTTCTATTTTTTGCCACTCATCTTTATTTTACTATCACACAAAGAAAAGAAAATCCAAAACAGCAGTCATTCCAAAGAAAGAAAGTATTTAGTTTTTTAGTTAACGAAATAGTATATATCACTTTTTTCCAATTCAGTATTAAAAAAATATGAAAATGTTAAAGTCTTTCAGTATTACTTAAACATTTTGATATCAAATCTACATTTTTTTCTGAAGAAACCTTTGTATGCAAAACATGGGATTTATGCATCATTACACTGATGCTTTCTAATCCCCTTTCAAGAGTTGTCAGTTATTCATTCTATTTCCTACCACAGAGCTTGTTATGTTTTTCTATATAGAAGAATAAAAATATATTTCTCAGATGGCGTTGCCTTCAGTTTTAATAAAAAGAACAATACAATAAGGCAGAATAAAAATAAAACCTTCAGAAGGAGGCTTTCAAGTTATAAATTTGTGTGTGTGCATCTCATTTAAACTCAAATGCACACAGACAAGCAACTTGCCCCTGTGAGCAGTGAAGAGGTTTAAAGTCACAAAGTAAGACAGAATAGTTTTACAAACATGCAATGTATGATTTTGTGACATGGGACTACAGCATTGTCTCAGCAGGTGCCTACCCAGTGAGAGTCAGCAGTGGAGACAGGCAGCATATATTCTGTGACTATGGAGATACTCTGGTTTCACTTATGTGTTGTCAGTCTGATCGTTGAATAAAGATATTTCACTGAGATGAAAACTTGGAGTGTGCCTGTCTCCACTCTCTTTTCTTTAGAGTATTTTTTAATGGAGAGACACTTGTATTTCTTTGGAAGCTGGTGTGAGCATTCAGAGATACATCACTGCCAGAAGGCTACGTCCCATCTTTTCAAAATGGTGTGTTTTTAACTGGGCAAAAATGGGACTATAGAACTGAGGAGGGATAAGAGGTGTATTTTTTTGCACAGAGAGTCTCTAAGCTGATTTACCCAGCCAGGGACCTCCAAATATATGAGTCCTTTCAGAAGGAGTGTTTGGAACTATCAGACTTTCCCCAAAATACTACACTTCCTCCTCCTGCAGCAAGAAATGAGACTCTTGAATGCAAAGAGGCTTTAATAACAAACCAAAGACAAAACTTTTAATGGCAAAGGAAAGTGTGTCTTTCTTGGGCTTCACTTGGCAAATGAAGCAGACAACTCCAAGGCTGTATCTACATACAGCTTTTGGAAAAAATGGACAGAAGAAGTGGCTTAAAGAAACAGAGGATCCCTGAAGCCGGTTGCTATGTGCCTGAAATCTTCCCGATAAAAGGTAGCACAGTAACAGGCAGAGAGTCCAGACACTGTCATATATGCTTAACTAACACACTGGGGGCTGGGTCAAGGACGTTTGACTCATGACATCTGGGAACTGAGTAAGATTTTAAGCCGTTATTCTATGGGGAGCTGGTAAAAGCTTGAAGAGTGGCCCTTTTTTAGTGCCTAAGGCAAGCTTAGTAGGGAAAATAAAGTGTTTGTAAAAGCAAGTACCAAGTTGCTCCTTGTGGTTTTTCATAGTATTCCATGAAACTCAAACTGGTTTTCGAATCAGGAATCATGAATAAAAGAGGAAGCCCTTTTATTAAATAGGCGGTTTCCATCCAAGGTGTACATTCACATCTTTTTTCCCTTCCCTCTCCATACAGATATCATGTTCACCTCCTCCCAGCCCATAAACTACCCACTCTCTCATTCAGACTAAGCAAAAAATTGGAAGAAATCCTTTTTGTGTGTGTGTGTCCAGCCAGAATTACAGCCACTGACAGCACCTAAAAGCGAGAGAGGATGTCAATGCTGCCCTTGGCCAGAGCAGCACCCATCTGTGCATATTGACTGAATAGGCAAGGTGTCCTCTCCACAAGGCCACAAGGCCTCTTGTGCCCATGCAGCAGCTGCCACCTCATCAGGTAACAAGGAGGGCGTGAGGTTTTCCTTTGCACAAACAGCCCCAGCAAGCCACCAGACAGAGGGATGAAAAGGGAACAAAGAGAAGCACTTCCCGCTCTCTACCCCTTACATTTCATCAGAGTAAAGGACACTCACCTGTCCAATCTGTCACCTGAGGAGAAGCTTGATTAATAAAATCAGATAATTAAATATTCTTCATCATGACTGGCTGCACCATTTGTCTTTCTTTTTTTTTTTTACCTCTTTCATTGTTCTTTTTCCACCTACCCACCCACCCCCAACCCTTTCCCAGTACCTGGAATCTGGAAAAAGCCGAAAGCCTTTCATCTTATCAGGTGTGGTTTATTGCCCCTGGTTACACAGTAATTTTGGTCTCCACTCCATGAAGAGGTCATATGATGGGATATCAGCTCAAGAATTGTCAGTTCATTGGACAAATAAGGCAGGGCCTGCCAATACAATAATAAGAGCCTGATAACGAAGGCACAGAGGAGAGGCAGCAGGAGATGGAGACACAACCATAGCAATTTAAAAGGTGAGGGGCAATCCCAGAAGAATGCAAAAAATACCAGTGGGGGCAGGGAGAGGGAAGGAATAGGAGTATCTAACAACACATTCTTCCCAAAATAAAACATAATGAGAAGATAGAAGTAGCTCATGAGATGAATTACTGGCATTCATCAGCATTCTCTGGGAAATCTTCTTCCCCGTCTTGGATACCTGACTGCTGGTGGGATGATTATCCAGCTAGCTTGCTCAGGAGATAAAGAAAATAATGTTTTATCTCTAGGAGTGCATTGCTAATTCCTGTTCCTACGTGTGTTGCAAGGGGCCTCTCTTTTTCTCTTGCGACTGATAAGATGGGATGATGTCGAAAAGCACCTGTCTGGAAAGTTCAAAGGGTTTCCAGAGTGGGAAAAGAGAGAATTTAAACTAAGTCTGATGACTGTGGGGGTGGCTGTAGGATAACCTGGAAACTGCCGGTAAGGGAGGTTTCCATCTGTGTCAACTCCATGTATGTAAGACAAGTTTACTAGGTGTCTCCCTTGCTAGTAAATGGCACGAGGGAGAAGTATTTGTCCTGCCAACTGTTTTTTTAACTCCATAATAGTACACAATCAAATGGTCTGTCAAAGATTTCAGCCTGAAACCAGTAAAGAAAGATAACTGTCACTTGAGCAGGATCTACCAACATGAGGCAACTCTTTCCAAGGCATTTTTAACCTGTGTCTGTGAGGAACATACCTCCTCCTGGGATGACAATGTGATTGCTCAGAGCTCTGTAAATTTGCGCCGACCAGGGGTTGTTCAGGAGTGGGTGGGGTTGGTAAGACTTTTCACCCCCCCTCCTGATGCTGCCTTCCCCAGATACAGCAGCACAGTTTTTGGTCTCAAGCTGGCCAGAAGAGAGGAGCAGGCAAGCGTGCTCACTTTTGGGTTGCCTCTGTTTCTCCTCCCAACACTTCTGCAGGTCAGCTGGGCGCTAGTGGGGAGAGGAGTGCACCTTCCCAGCTGCATGTTTCCTGGGGTGCACCGAGAGCAGGAGAGGACTTTCTGCCCTGTGACTGCTTTGCCAGGAAGATAATGGACCCCCGTGAATGCGTTAGCCAGGGGAAGCCCAGCCTGTCCTTTTCCATTGAGGAGATCTTAAAGAAACCTTCTGCCAGCACCACACCAAGCAGTGAAATCAGGAACAGAATTAACTATACTGAGACTTCTTTAGCCCTAAAAGCAGGATCACCACTTGCCTTTGGTAAGTACATCACATAATGAAAAACGTTCTTTTATTTTTTTTCTCTTTTTTTTTTTTCTCTTTTTAAATCTCTACAGCTAAATTTTGATAAGGTAGAATTTTTATTCTTAAAATTTTCAGGAATTTTGGATTTCTGTAGTCAAGCACAAATCATTCATTATATACTCAGAAATAATCTTTTAAAATTAATTTCCTTTTAGCCTCATGGTAGATTGTGTTCTGCTGCCAGCCTTTGGTGGGATTTTGTACAATATGAAGTCCTGGTGTTATTGGAGAGGTGCATATGCAACCTCAGTAGTCATTGCAGGTAGCTCTCTTCAGTAACAGTGAGTTCTTATTGTAAACAAATACAATATCCTTTATATTTCCCATTAAAAAGCAACGGTTCTGTTATTAAAAGAGAAAAAAAAATAGGGGAAAAAAAAAAAAAAAAGAAGAATCACCTGTCACAAGGAAAGATGGGCATTCAGACACAGGAAGCTGACCTAAAACTGCTGCAGCTTAATGAAGTTGTTGGAGTTTCATTTATATCAGGTGAAACTGCCTTGTGTTCTGGAATTACAGCCAAATAAGTATCATTTTCTGATAAATCTGACCACTCATCCTCAAGCAAGAGAAATGGTCTGTAAGAGTCTGTAGATGAGAAGTTTTAGAACTCAATCACTGGAACAAGACATGAGAAAGCATCTGTGTTTAATCATTTCTGCTTATCATCAGGGACGCTAGGTTCTTTCATGTACTAAATAAAGCCAACTTGTAGAGAGCTAACATAATTTTGACTATAGCAAACCAACCACTGCATTAACCTTTTTGACTTCAGTTTCCTCAGTTTAGTTACTTCAGTCGTAATTGAACTTTTACCCCTTCTGAAACTATTTTTTTTTCCTTAACAAAGATCAACAACAAACATATTCTGGATTTAGTATTTATTTTTCTTTTTTAATCTACGTCTTCCATGAAACAGAGGTGTTTTATATAACCAGATACATTCAATTACTGAAAAATGAGCAGGAGCTTTGACGGAAGACTTTCACTCACTAGACAAAGCTTATTGCTATACTTTGCAATACATAGAGATCCCTCATGGGTCATCACTCCATTCCCCCAAAAACTGGATGAACCAGTAGTAAGGGACAGAGTATTTTTCTAAAGACCTGATGTTTCAAGTAGCCACTGCTTATTTGCATTGTTTCAGCTCCAAACAGGATTCTGATCTAGACTGGAAAGCAAAGAAGACCTAAATAAGAAAGGAAACTACAAAAAAATGAACTCTTGGTTGGTTACAGTAGTTGGTCTAGAGGTCAGTCCCACTACTGCTTCTTCAATCATCCTTTGCACAGGATTTGCACTTTCTTGTTCCCCCAGATCACAGGGTGACCTCACTCTGTACAGCAGTTGTTTCCTGACCATGGGGCAGAGCAAACCCACAACACGTCTCACAGCCTGGGACCCCCAGCCACTGGGGCTGAATATAATAGCTAACTTTGAAATAGTACCTGCAGCTTTCCACGGAAACCTGCACATGAGGGAAAGGGATAGAGTTCTACTGTATTTTCTCAGAACCACAGAATAGTTCAGGTTGAATGGGACCTCTCAAGGTCATCAGCTCAAAGAAGGGATGAGTTCAAAGACAGACAAGTTTGCTGAAAACCACAGTTAGTGTTGTTGCTTAGCTGTTTCATGACTGGTACTGCTGGAGGGGTGCAGCCCCTAAATATCTGCTAAATCTGCCAGTGCAGATCAGACCTTAACAGCAGCAGATCCAGGCTATGTTTTAAATACATTCCTGAAACATAGAACATAGTAATTTGTAGGAGTGGACAGGGATATAGCTGATGCTGGTGCGAGCGTAATGGATCTCATGCTGATGGAGCCCAGGTGCCAGGTTGCCTAGTCGGGGGAAATGGTGGCATGTGCTCTGTGGGAGTGAGATTTAGTGAACTGAAAGTCCTTTCCATAGGGCCCATGGCCATCACTTCGTGCCACTGGATCCAAAGTGAGACATGTAACACCATGGAAAAGAAAGTCAGTGTTCTTCATAGCATGGACCATAAAAATGTATATTAACAATATGAGACTCTTCTCTGGGAACGGAAAAGCACAGCAGAGACAGGTGGTTTTTTTGTTTGTTTGTTTTATTATAATTGTGTTTCATGATCAGTATGTTGAAGATAGCCAGCTCTGTTTCAATGTGCATGTCAGCTAAACATGCCACTTCAAACACAAGGTCTGACAAAACGATATGCAGGACATGGTGAGTTCCTGGGACTGCATTGCTGTACTGCCAGGGCAGTCCCACCACAAACTGCTCCACCTGAGAATACAGTCAGTTTTCCACCTTGAAAGCAATGCAGGCAGAACAACTAGGCTTTGTCTTTGACTTCACTTCATCATCCAGCCAGAGAGATGTAGTAGCTGTAACAAGAGAATAGTGACCCTTCTCTCCCCTGCTAGGAAGCAAGTCTGGAGTAATTTACTTAAGGCAATGTGAAATGTTAACTAATGAAAATAGCATATATGCATGGAGATTCACTTGTCACTAGAGCTGGGAAGATATAGGAAAGCTGTAGAGATATTTCAAAATGTTGTTTCATATTGCTTTTGAAATTGATCAATAATTTAAAATAAAAATTAAAAAAAAAAAAAAGAAGAAAGAAAGAAAGAAAGAAAGAAAGAAAGAAAGAAAGAAAATGAAGCTTTTTTACTGTTGGTTTCTGACTAGCTCCATAGATTTACCCAAGCTAATTACTCTTTACTTTCCCATCAGAATTGCCAGTTTTTGCAGATAAGGTTTATTTCAAAACTGCAATACCCTATGCAGTACATCTTGGGATAATTGCTGTATTTCATCAAAGTCATTCAACTTTATGCCATATAACACTGACATTAAACAAATTGTGTAAATAGTGAGCTGTATCTAATTTGACTCAGTTCTGGCCAAGGTCAGGGCACTGAAATGAGCAAGGGAACTTTTTGGAAATTCCAGGATGGGATACAAATCCAGCTGCTTTCCCAGAACAGCTCAGCAGCAGCAAAGAAGGAAGTACTGAGGGTCAGGGCCAAGTCATATCTTACTACAGATTTTAAGAACATTTTCCACCTCCTATATATTATGTATCTGAGCCATGCTATGATCCACAAGAGCAAGAACTGAGCCATACACATATCAGTGGCTCCATGAAGTAGATACCTAAGCCAGAAACGATCATCCAGATGGTCTGCTGATCTAGGCAGCCTAGGGACCAAGATCACACTTGTCCTTAAGTCTAAATGTAGCCACTAAGTGTTAAGAAGATGGGTGGAACCAGGAGATTCAGAATGTCAGAAATGAGGACATAGAGCTTACCCTGGAGTCTTTTTCCAAGACAACACAAGGGCACTAGGTCAGATAACCTTCATAAATTGCTTCCAACCTAAATTATTATGCAATTCTTTGACAAAAATAGAATGTGATGTACAAGTGTTAGCCACTCATAGAAAGATGGAATAGGAGTCAATCACATATAAGATCTCTGTACCTGATTCCTAAGGTTTTTGTAAGGGTGTCTCCAAAGGGGTTTGGAATAAAGATTGTAGTCTTCCTACAAACCCAGTTGTAATATTAGGCATTTGTAAGTTTACTATACAAAAACAACTTACAAGATGACCTGGAACAGCAGCTGTTGATCTGAAGTCTACTGAAAGTTTTGAATTTTTGTGTCACTCCTACCAAGTTAAAAAGAGAACATGGAAAAAGACATTTTAGTATTCAGCTTATGTTTCTCCCCTCTTATTTTTGTCACAATGCCTAGAAAGAGTAACTATGGCCTTTGAAAGGAACACAAATAAGCATGCCCAACAAGTGCTGGTCTCCTTCTTGGTGCCAACACCTTCACTTTAAACAGAGAAGACTTGCAGCCTATTTTAGAAAAAGGGCCAGTACATTAAACGAGTCACTCATCTGTTAAGTGAATTGGTCCTTTCTCTAAAATCCCTTGGAACCTGATTTCAATGTGCTTGAAAGTACAGCTGAAATAATTGTTCATTACTCCCCCAGTTTCTGTTAGTGAGGTTCCACCAACAGGAAGCCCTTTGTCAAGGCAAAGAGAGCTTGGGATGAGGATGTTACACCTGGGAAATTAATAGTAAAAGCAGTAACAGATACAGTAATTATGTTATTACGTCTGCATTATGCCCTGTTGTGTTAAGGATATGCAAATTACTCTGAATTTAACTGTGGCTTCACACACAAGTGTCAATATGGTAATTGTTTACTTCACCGGTAGCAACACTCCACCCCCATTTGTTGCAAAAGAGGAAACAAATGAAGGAATATAACTGAATAGGTACCACCTGGCTAATTATCAACAATTCACCCCACATAACAAGGAAAAACAGACCACCTAAGAAAAAATAATAAATAAATAGATAAATAAATAAATAAATAAAAGTGTACGAGCAAGAGAAAAACAGTGCAATAAAAAGCTGCTTGCACATCTCAGTGACAGACTCTTCTTTGCTCAGAGCCTTAGTAAGGCCCTAAAATCATATGCTTGAGGTCTGCAACAGGTCTGTCTCTCTCCAGTGACTACACAAAGAGGCTTAAATGGAGCTTAGAGCATCTGAAATAACTTCCTGTTTCCAAAAAGAAATCTTGCAATCTTCCCTGACATTTTCCATCCTTTCCTATACAGCTGAAAGTCAAAATAAAAAGACCATTTTGGGCCACAAGTCAAAGTAATTTCTGTGCATAGTAACAGTATGCACGGTAACAAATATCTCATGTCGAGCCAGGCTGAAATGTCATCACCATCCCCACAACAAACAGGAATGAAGAAAACCGCATTCCCTGGGGGCAATCTTACCCCATGCCAATTAATAAATATTTTTCAGAGGTCTCTGCTGGAGCCATATGAATGTGCAATGAAAAACGCTAGCTAGCCTAGATAGCTGCCACTTCAGCTTCTCCATAAGGTTTATATCACTATAATTTGCTTCCTTGATCTCAAACAATACACTCTCCCACTCTTTTCTACCAGTTCATGCAGACATTGGTATTTTCCCATCCATCTATGACAAATTTCCATTGGATTCCCATGGGACAGTGGATTCCCTCCTTGTTTTCTTTTCTTCAGCCTGTAATAATGTTATCCATGTCCATATGTAAATTGTGCTCATCGCTGGGGTATGCAAGTATCTCGGGGAAACACTTTGAGGGGGAAAAGTTGTATATGAAGGATGAAGACATGAAAAAAAATTCTATAACTTAGAAAATGCCAATGTCATTCTGAAGAAGGTTTAGTGACTGCCCCTAAAAACACCTTGCTCAGGTACCCTTGTCTTCATTACTGCAGGATATAATCACTGTTATTTCTGTCCATATTCATCTTCACAGCATCCCATCTAGAAAGGGAGTACGGCTAGTCCTTAATTTAAGGATGGGAGATTGAGATAGAAATCCCAGACTAAGATCCCACTCTAACATTGACATCCTCCAAGTTCTTGAGCAAATCATTTAACCCCCTGTCCAAGTTAGGGGCCAGTTCCAGGTCTGCCCTCTTCTTTATCCCATGAATGTTGTTTGAAACCCTACATGTTTTCTTACCAGAAAACTCAAAATGAATTGATCCTAAATGAATTAAATGAGTTCTATTTTGCACAATATCCTTCAAACAGAGGAGGAAATCATACCATGTTCTTAAAGTTAGCACGGCTGGATGCAGGCAGTTGTATTTAGAAGTTTCCCAAAAGATTTGTGATAAATTGAAAAGATAACATTTAAATAATCATTCCTCATTGACATGAACTTTTGGCTGATTTCCAGAGCTCTTGTAACTGTATTTTCTTCATGTCAGTGTAATCCCTCTGTACAAATCCTATTGTGTTGGCTTTTACTGAGGGCAGAATTGGGCACTTTTTCTCCAGATGTTATAATTATCATTGCTCCAAGGCTGGCTAGAAATAGAACTTATTATTTGTTCGGAAAATAAAATTTCTCTAAAAAGTTAGACACTTTGCCAATGCTATATCCTGCACCAGAAGTAAAATAGGTATTAAAAATTGAGTTTATACCAGTACAATCTGTTGAGTGTCACAGCTGTTATCTGGATATGAGAAGAGAGAGGGGAGAGGGGAATAGCCCTAGGTGCTGCAAACCCCAGAGCCTAGATGTGGGTGACTGCTCAGATGCAAGTCCATTAATAGTTTAATGTTCTTTGGTGTTAATAACAGACAAAACTGTGCTGTAACATTAGCTTCACTCTGGTGCTATCTATGGTGAAAGTCTATTTCGCTTATGTGTTGCCTCTTTCTCTGCCTTTCCAAGCAAAGAAATCCAAGGAGAAAAACTAGACCAAATTCTAGGTTTGCTCATTAAAGCAGCACAGACCCAATTCTCTTGTTTCTTGGTTATATCTGCTTACTTCTACACTCCCATTCTGAAAATTTCCCACAAGTATCATCCAAAGTTACAAGGTGGAATGAAGCAGAAAGAAGTTTAGATTTCGGGGGGCAAGCTCACTAGGATCATGCCCCTGCAACATAGGGGTCATCCTGGCAATGATGCACCACACAGAAAGATAAAGGCCATTTTAACTATGATCAGGTTAGAATGGTAGACTATCCAGACCACACTCATGTTTCTGTTCTTTTCACACATACTGGAAGGTGCACCTAATAACAGTAGCTTTACCACAGCTTTCTTGTGCTGTGTCCTTCACAGATTCCATCAGCAGGGGTCAACTGGAGAATGACTTACCTTCGGATAAAATGCTTCTCCCTGCCATGTGTACTACACCCATGACCAGAGCAAAGAAAATGCAGGGAGCCCACTGCAGGAGACTTACTGACAGCCCAGCTTCCCTCTTGGGTGAGGAAACAGGCCGTGAACACCTGGAAGGCAAAAGAAAACACGATGAAGAGGAAGATCAGCTATGTGATTTCCCAGTGGACCATCCGCTTCATGGTGAGCACCTCTAGATTCAGACTTTCTCCCAGAATGCCCCAAACCACAGCTGGTATCTTACATGGCACTACGTGGCAATACATAACAGCAGACATCACAAGTATTTCTTGTTAAGCTCTTGCTTGAGTCAGGGGGATGATTCTTCAGTCTCGTCATTGAAACCATGGAGACCCACCCTCTAAGCTAAGCTCAGGCTTGTAAATCCTACCAGTTTTAATGACAGGGACTAATTTGGGTGTTTATTGCCGTCCTTCTTTGGGTGGCAATCTACAGAGCTAGCAGGAAATGGGCATTGCACAACGTGAGGAGCAAGGCTGCTGAACATGCCACATCAGCTTAACATGCTGTACACACCTTGGACCCACGGCACGGGTGGTGAAGAGGTCATCACCATGCACACAGGCAAACTGTTGATATGCAATAGCTCTGGCATGTAGGATGTGACAAGTGCCGCTTTAAGTTCTTTGAGTTTCTGGAGAGGTTAATATGGACAGTAATACTACACTTCAGAAAGCAGGTGCTTGGTAGCAGTAGTAAGATCTTTGCTGCATGGTTTGTTATGATTCACTCCTTTATGAAAAGGGAAAAGGAAAAAAAAAAAAAAAAGGAAAAAATAGCACAGTGCAATTTCAATGAAGGCCGCGGAAGGCTCCTTGTGGGTCTGTGTGACTGCAAATACATGTGGCTTCACTGACATCCACACATCTTCCTCAGCCTATACTCTGCAAGTTGGCAGAGGAAACACGTCTCTCTGTGAAATACATCTGAAAGAAAAGCCTTGCTCCTGCAGCTGCTGCTTTGGTATACATGAGTCTTGTGACAAGCTGCTGTCACCTCCTCCTCCACAAGACAAAGCCTGTCTTGATGCAGAGAGAAGCATCGTAAGACAACCAGATATTTTAGCCTACTTCTGGCCTGTAAGCTGCAGGAAGCTGATGGCAGCAGGGCAAAATCATGTGTTGCATCCTCAAGGTAGAGCCAGGGCAGCATGTCTCTGCCACACAGAACTGCCTGAGAGTGTTAACAAGAAGTGCATTTCATGAGGGAGGGAGTTCCCAGCAATGGGGAGGCCACTTTCCCAGGGTGACAGAGGGGGAAGGCAGGTGTCCTGACTCAGCACTTAGCTTCAATGACTGGCACAGTGGTTGGTACCAGCCTCATCAGCAAAACAGGGGGAAAGCACGTAATTACCTGCATAAAACTGAGCTGAGCTGAACAGGCCCTTTCAATGACAACTTGTATTTTAAAGGCATTTTAAACAAAATCCCTCTGTTCTCTGGAGGCAGTGGGGTTTTGAAACCAAGCAGAGGTTTAATGATCTGCCGTTTTCTAGGCTCCTGGTTCCCACAGTTGCTGAGCCTTTGATAGAAACTGGCTGAAGGAGAGGGAGGATCTGAAAACACTGGATTGGCATTTTCCCCACAGTGCACAAACAATGATGTTTCAAATTCTGTGCACACACTGTGTCATTCTTAGCAGAGAGCTGAAGCCCTGGGTTTAAAATACTTTGCAGCATCATAAGCTCCAGCCGCGGTCCTCCACTTCGTGTTAGAGGAGAAGAGCGGGTGGCTCCTTTTCTCCTGCCTCTGGCTGAGGCTGGAGTCACCTTTTCCAGATACAGTCAGCAGCAGTGCCTCCGGGAGAGGCGAGATGACACCATCCCCTGCAGCAGTCTATAATCTTTACAGCTTGAGCTAATAGCAAATGAACTTCTCTTACCATGCCTAGCAACTCTGTGCCTCAGGCATACTTTTGGCACAGTAGCTATGGGATGGTTACTTGTCCTCTAAGAAGGTATCTTGGTGATGCCAAACACCCACAGCATATACCACAAAGGTGTCCTCAAGGTCTCCCTTGTGCTCACACTGAGTATGCCTGCAAGTGCCCAGGGGAACAGCACCAGCCTCAGCAGTGGGAGAAACTTCTGACATGGAAGACATCAGTCCCTCACCCTTCTATCTAGATAAAGATTGTACACGATTTGTGACAGAGGGCACTAGGCTCTGGGTAAGCATACACGTGTACAGTTATCAGGGAGCAAAAGAAATCAAGTGAAGAAAACAAGAAGAAATAATATCACTTCAGAAGGAGGAAAGCTGGTGTTTGGTGCTTTTTGGATAGGAGGTGAAAGATGAGGAGGAGGTCATGACAATACGCCCTTCATGGCAAGAGGTTCAAGATAGCAAGAGAACCCCAATTGTGAACCCTGAGCATGGATTTGGTGCATACCTCCAGGCAAACCTGCAATGGAAACATTGCAGTGTTCCTAAAAACTTGTTTTTCCCACAAGATGGCTTCTGCAACTAAGTGGTTTAGAAACACAGGGTCATTTAAACTAAATAGATTTATGCCCTTATCACAACCTACTTACAGGAAGCAATGCCTCTTGCACTTTGAACTTAGAGGCTGCATTGTAAGCAAAAATAAAAAAGAGAAAAGCCCTCATATGCTAGAGATATGCTTGTGCTGCTAAACTCCCATTTGAATTTGGAAGCCTTCACTCTGCATGTGAATGTTTTCACCCATGACTTGCTGTGTGAGAAGCTCAGCAGAACTTTTCTGGAAAGCCTTGCTCTCAGAAGCAGCACTGGTAAACCCAATTCAGAAGGAGATCTGACTGAGAGAAGCCTTGCTTTGAAGCTGTGGGTACTGATTCTGCTTGGGGCAGCTCTCTGTGAAATGACTGATCAGTGCCATTTTGCTATGTGTAACCACCACCGCTGCCACTGTCTTCAAAACTCAAGAACAAACAGGGCAAACTGTGGCCATCAGTCAGCATCTCAGCAAATGCCTGAGTTAAATACTGAGCCTCCACTTTCCTTTTAGTTCCTTCTCTCTGCTGTGTGTGAAACCCTTGAGACTTAACCAGTTCACCATGACCGATCACCAAAGCCTGAGAGAAGGACATGTCCCATGCTGGCCAGACCTGTTGCAGCTCCTGCTGGAGACTGCCAAGTCCGAGATCCTAGTTCATATAGTCATGGGCAATTATTTAACATGTGCTGGGTCTGACTGTATACATATCTCTGTCTGTGTCTGCCCTAACCTTTTACTTCCCAAGGCAGTGGATGAGCATGCCCAGCAATGCAATTATTTCATTGGTCCAGCCAGGGAGCAGTCAGTACATTGGTGAAACCAGATAACATCATCAGCTTAATATACTGTCAGAATCCCAGTCTTCTGGGACTTCTTCTCTGGGCAATAATTCAAGTACAAGGTAGATCAGGCTTCCACAAAAGGGGCTTGCTCCTAATTTCACTGGGAACTGGGGGTTTCAGGGCCTGGGAACAACTGCACAATGCTATTTCCTGCAGCTCATATCTTCATTATTCATTGTAGAGGAGTGTGCCATAGTAAGTCAACGTCACTCAAATATTTCTATAGCAGAAATCCTCTGCTCGTTGCTGACTGGGGTCTTTTTACCACTCTTATAGTTTTATTATTATGATAATATCTTTGATCCCAAAGCATATTGACAAATTCTGTTGTCAATTATCATAAAGACAATGGAAAATATGGAGATGAGCCCAGTCCTGGAGAATTTCCAGTATAAGTCATGTCTCTTCTGCATTGATGCCAGTCGCAGGCATCTTTAGCTTAGTGTTTATGTTTTCTCTGAAGCCATAAATTCATTTGTTCTGTTCATTTGCGGATGATATGGTCAAATCCATGTACCCCTGCGAAATGGCATGGTTTATCACTTGCAGAACAGTCTTTTCCCCAATATGCTTATTTAATGCATTTATAAAGCACCCGAGAGACAATGAAGCACTGTATAATCACAATTCCAGATAAATATCGGCTGCCCAGAATACACCAATGGGACTGAGAAAAAGGGCAAAAGCATCCCATTGTCCTGAACAACAAAAGGAAACAATTCTAAATGAAAAGGAAAAGTAGGGGGGTGGGGGGAATAAATGCCTATATACAAAATTCTGCTGCCATCGGCTGTCTTACCAGTCTTCTGTTTGTTAGTGTGAATAGTCCCTGCAGTCCTGTGTCTCTGAAGTACAGTATTCCGATACACACTGAGAAATGCAGCGAACCATTGACCTTGATTTGGTGGGTTTACCTGAAGCATTGTTGAAGGCTAGTTCTTTGTTTTTCTCCCTCTTTTAAGACTGACTGTTTTAAATCACATCCTGGATATTAAATGAAAGGCATTAAACCTGAATTTTTAACTCTTGCCTTCAGACTACGTTCACTCAGTAGTCTGACTGATACAAGTAAGCACTGAAGCAAGAAAAGGTTGGCAGTTGAGGACTATCATAAATTCTATTTGTGCTTTTTTGTTTATTTGTTTTGGTTCTGTTTTGTTTGGCTGTTTGTTTGTTAGGTTAAAGCAAGTGTTAGCGTGCAATGCTCTTCTCCAACAGCTCATTCCTTCCAAGGAATTTTAGACCCAAAGGGTATATTACACAGGAGCCAGAGGTTAATTTGTTCCTGCTAGTCAAATCTATGTAATGAGACCACTTGTAAAGTTGATGGCATATCTTGATAAGTTTACTTCAAAGGTCTTATAAGTACTTATTGACTTCTCTGGAATTGTCTGAGAACTTTTCATTACATCTCCAGGATCCAGTGCTTTTAATTACTGTTCATTAAAATTGATGGCAAGACTTTTACTTACTGTATTAGCAAATGCTTTATGCTGAAATTAGAAACATCAGAGACTATGTACTAAAATAATGATGGAATTATATTTTATCGGAGGGAGAGCAGACTCTGAGGCTGGGATGTAAACAAGCATGCCTGATTCATGTCTAGAGGTTTGCAGGTACAAGTAATCACAAAGAGCTAGAATAAAGCAGTGAAATGAAAAAAAAAAAAAAAAAAAAAAAAAAAAGGCTGTCTGTGCAACCTGTAATAAGCTCAGCTTTCTGACAAAGGTGATTGACCTGAGAGTGTGGGGAGAGCAATGGGGAACCTGTATTTCGCAGTGAAAACCATTATTGGATTAGTCAGGTCACTGCTTTCTCATTGTTCACTGATTGTGAGCA